TCATGTGTCTGGGTATTTATCTAAGAACCTCACTAAAACTCCATCTCCGAAAAGTTTGCAACAAAATCCTATACCCATATTTGGACATAAACTTTGGAGCCTGACGCAACTTCCAAAACCCCACCCTCTCGACGAACGAGGTGACGTTTTTAGTAAAATGAAAAGGCAATGCGACTTCTACTTCTCCTCTCGACCGACCCGCAGCCAGGACAGAGTCTTCTCTCCAACACCCCTTCAGAGTCCCTTAATAACCAAGCCTACTAGTGAGGCAGATCAGAGTTCTTCAGTTGTTAATTATTCTGTGCAACGATCTCGTGCGTTCTTGGGGCATTGCGAGCGATTCTGCTAAAACCAGTTTCTTGTTTTTGGCGCAAAACTTGGGTCCATCCTCACAGACACGTAGCAATTACACTTTTCATTGTCGACTAACATCATAGAGCCAGCAGTACGAGGGCGGTCCGATAAATACTTAGCCTCACCGCCCGATGGCGCCACTATCGCAAGAGAAATTTACTATCGTGTAGTACATTCTCGTAGACGGCTACTGTCGAAATTTCAGCCGAATCGAACTCGTAGTTTTGTTTTGACCGCATGTGGAAGCGGGCGTGTCCACGGATTTTAGAAAAATGGAAAAAGAGCAATATCGGTCGGTGATTCGATTCTTGTTTTTGGAAGGGAAATCGCGCAGCGAAATCAAAGAGCGCTTGGATGCTGTGTACGGTGTACGGTCTTCTCCTTCGATGGCGACCGTCAAAAATTGGTTTAACGAGTTTCAACGTGGTCGCAAGTCGGTTTTTGATGAGCCACGCCCAGGTGCCCCGAAAACGGCTACCACGGAGGATAACATGACAAAAATCCACGATCTCGTATTGGCAGACCGCCGATTGAAGGTGCGCGAGATAGCTGAGACAGTAGGCATCTCAAAAGACCGCGTGGGTCATATCCTGCATGAAATTTTGGGCATGAGAAAGCTGTCGGCGCGATGAATGCCGCGTTTGCTCACTCCGGACAACAAGCGCAACCGTGAGACCACTTCAGAGCAGTGTTTGACGCTGTTTAAACGCAATCCGAAGGAGTTTCTGCGTCGTTTCGTGACCGTCGACGAAACATGGATCCACTGGTACACATCAGAGACCAAGGAACAGTCGAAACAGTGGACTTCACCCGGCGAACGTGCTCCGAAGAAGGCGAACTGTCCTATCGGCCGGAAAGGTGATGGCCACGTTTTCTGGGATTCACAAGGTGTGATCTACATCGACTACCTGGAGAAGGGCAGAACGGTCACAGGGCTGCACTATGCCGAATTATTGGGCCGATTCGACGCCGAATTGCAGAAAAAACGGCCCCATTTGGCGAAGAAAAAAGTGCTCTTCCACCATGACAACACACCGGCTCACACCTCCGCCCTCGCCACGGTCAAATTGGTCGAATTGGGCTACGAACTGCTGCCCCATCCACCGTATTCTCCAGATTTGGCCCCGTGCGACTTCTTTTTGTTTCCAAACTTGAAAAGGCACTCGCCGGGCAGAAATTTGAGTCGAACGAGGAGGTCATCGCCGCCACGGAGGCCTACTTTGCAGACCTCGAGAAAACGTATTTTTCAGACGGGTTAAAGAAGTTGGAGCATCGCTGGGTCAAGTGTATCGAGCTAAAAGGAGACTATGTTGAGAAATAAATCGCCACTTTTCCAAAATTTTCGTTTTTCTTTTGTAGGCTAAGTACTTATCGGACCACCCTCGTAAGTTATTTATACTTTCTTTTGCCTTAGTGACCCCTGTCTTTTCATTTTCTTTTTTTCTTCTCTCTCTTTTCTTTTCCTTTCCTTTGCTTCCCTTTTTCTAGTCCCTTGACATTCCGCCTTAATTGTTAAATCAGGTGCCAGTGGCCAATCTTTTCGATCACAGTCGGACATAACGAACACGGAATTTTGCTCAGACCGCGATTGTTTATACATATATGTATACGTACACATTATAAAAGCTTATAAATTTTATTTCATTGTGAACATCCGTCTAATTACTAATAAAACAAGTTGTTTGTAATTGTAAGCCAATCAAGTTTTCCAAATAATTATTTTCAACAAAAAATTCTCCCTTCCCTCAACCGTCGCTCACGGTCCTATCCCAGGTAAAAGGATTCAGTTCCTTGACCTAAATAAAGGACCACCGACATACGTCCGCGCCAGATAAAGGGGTCATTCTGATCCTTGATCTGCACCGCAGACTTGCGAGTATGTCGGAGCTTGCGAAAACAAGCGTCAAGTTGCGTTCCTCCTCCAGGATGTAACACAAAAATAATATATACTTTTTCATTTTAACATGAGTATATCATGAATAGTGCTATTGTAATTATTATATTCTTATATTATACATTATGTATTATAAATATAATTTATTTATTGTATTTAGAGTTGTAGAAAAATAAATGCAGATTATAGACCCACATAACATTAGATCTCCAAAGTATATCCTTATTTGATCAAAATGATCTTATTATGATCCAAATGAAAAAATTATCTGTAGGAGTATCTGAGGATATGCATTAGCCACAAATTACACAAGATATCCGCATCCGTAGGATGTTCTAGTGTGTTAGTTGAGGTTTACTGAGGAACAGCGATACATTGTTTTTTTATGATGCAATATTTATTTGATACTGTGATCCATTCACATATAGTAATTAGTTTTTGTTTTTATTAATTAGATATTTAACATGTATTGTTCATGTCTGAACAATTGATTGATCCAAAAAGCATAAAGAATACAAAAAGAAGTTAATCTATATATTATCTATGTCTTATAATCTTTTATAATAACGACATGTAATACTTAGATAAATCACTTAATATCTTAATAGTCTAATACTTACTAAATATTTTATATTTTTATGATATATTTTTTTACTTAGCCTACAAAAGAAAAACGAAAATTTTGGAAAAGTGGCGATTTATTTCTCAACATAGTCTCCTTTTAGCTCGATACACTTGACCCAGCGATGCTCCAACTTCTTTAACCCGTCTGAAAAATACGTTTTCTCGAGGTCTGCAAAGTAGGCCTCCGTGGCGGCGATGACCTCCTCGTTCGACTCAAATTTCTGCCCGGCGAGTGACTTTTTCAAGTTTGGAAACAAAAAGAAGTCGCACAGGGCCAAATCTGGAGAATACGGTGGATGGGGCAGCAGTTCGTAGCCCAATTCGACCAATTTGACCGTGGCGAGGGCGGAGGTGTGAGCCGGTGCGTTGTCATGGTGGAAGAGCACTTTTTTCTTCGCCAAATGGGGCCGTTTTTTCTGCAATTCGGCGTCGAATCGGCCCAATAATTCGGCATAGTGCAGCCCTGTGACCGTTCTGCCCTTCTCCAGGTAGTCGATGTAGATCACACCTTGTGAATCCCAGAAAACGTGGCCATCACCTTTCCGGCCGATAGGACAGTTCGCCTTCTTCGGAGCACGTTCGCCGGGTGAAGTCCACTGTTTCGACTGTTCCTTGGTCTCTGATGTGTACCAGTGGATCCATGTTTCGTCGACGGTCACGAAACGACGCAGAAACTCCTTCGGATTGCGTTTAAACAGCGTCAAACACTGCTCTGAAGTGGTCTCACGGTTGCGCTTGTTGTCCGGAGTGAGCAAACGCGGCATTCATCGCGCCGACAGCTTTCTCATGCCCAAAATTTCATGCAGGATATGACCCACGCGGTCTTTTGAGATGCCTACTGTCTCAGCTATCTCGCGCACCTTCAATCGGCGGTCTGCCAATACGAGATCGTGGATTTTTGTCATGTTATCCTCCGTGGTAGCCGTTTTCGGGGCACCTGGGCGTGGCTCATCAAAAACCGACTTGCGACCACGTTGAAACTCGTTAAACCAATTTTTGACGGTCGCCATCGAAGGAGAAGAGTCACCGTACACAGCATCCAAGCGCTCTTTGATTTCGCTGCGCGATTTCCCTTCCAAAAACAAGAATCGAATCACCGACCGATATTGCTCTTTTTCCATTTTTCTAAAATCCGCGGACACGCCCGCTTCCACACGAGGTCAAAACAAAACTACGAGTTCGATTCGGCTGAAATTTCGACAGTAGCCGTCTACGAGAATGTACTACACGATAGTAAATTTCTCTTGCGATAGTAGCGCCATCGGGCGGTGAGGCTAAGTACTTATCGGACCGCCCTCGTACAAAATATGTACTAGGTAATATAATAATAATATGTGCGTGTATCTGTATGCATAAAAAAGTTTACTTGTTATTATTTGAGAAACGTATAATACATGTAATAATGTTAATGTTCCCCACACAACAATATGACGTCTAAAAGACGTCTTAAAATTTTTTAGACGTCTTAAAAAGTTGTCAGAATGACGCCTTTATGATGTCTTTAAGACGTCTTATGTCCCGATTTAAGACGTCTTTTAGATATTGTTTTAAGACGTCTTTTAGACATTAATTTAAGACGTCTAAACGACGTCTTATTTAAGATAATTTTAAGACGTTATAATCTAATAGTCGGTAATACAGGTAACTGTAATTTTAATAAATAATCGTAATTTTATATAATAAAATGTGATTTTATTTAATATAATATAACATAATATAATATAATATAATATAATATATATAATATAATATAATATAATATAATATAATTGATTTGGAAATGATCTGCACTATACGTTTGGCAAAGATCCGGATAACATTCCCTGACAACCAAATAACGAGGATACTGCTTTGTATTGCATTGCGCCTTGCACCTACACTCAGGAAATCTGTTCTAGCATTCGCTGCTGCACTAATAAAAGTTCTCGCAAAAGTTTTGTGCTTGTATACGTATATTTTTACTTTGATATTTTTATGTTTCGAGATGTCCATATAAAACTTGAACATATTTCAAAAAGTTCCTTTACCTATGTGCAAAACATCTCTATTACTAAAATTTTGCAAAATTGGGCAGACAAATGAAAATATAAAATTTAATTAAAAATAGAGAGACATACAAGTCAGGCAGTGCTTATTTCCTTTCTAATATTTCAGCTGTATGTATTCGCTTGATGCACCATTTATACATGTAAAAGTCCATATAATATATATACATATATTAGAGAAACACCATTTCTCGCTCGATACCGACGAATTTTAATTGTTCCGTTGGTCTATATCTGAAAATTATCGCATGATTTTAATTGTTTGCAATTAATAAATTAAACAAAACATTATAGCGACATACCTATAGTCAAAAAATAATTCTTCACTAGGTTGAATCGCTCTCTTAGCAAAAATACTTATTCTATGATCACCGTTTACCATCATTACTTTCGCATAACAATTTGGATTTATCGAGTGATTAGCAAACTTTATTTTATTCCCTTTCCGTGTCGCGTCTACAACAAAATCTGAAACCGACCAAAAACTTTTAATTTTTATTATTTTTCAACATTTAATTAACCATTATATCTATCTCTACTTACCATTGTTAAGATTAAAAAGGAAACTACACATATATTTATCATATACTTTTCCCCTCCTGTTAGCTTCGTCTTGACTGATAATTTCGCCGCAATATTCCGAAATGAATTCATTTTTTGCTGCTGATCTTTCAAATTGTATAAAGTATATTCCAAATTAAAAATTCTACTCATTATACTGATTATACTGATTTTCACTTTAATAAATTAAATTTTTCGATACTTATAAAATACACGTTGCACGCTGACATTTTTGCAAGATTTAGAATTTATTTGGAAATAATGTGCACCATATGTTTGGCAAAGATCCGGATCACATTCCCTGACAGCCAGATAACAAGGACATTGCTTTGTATTGCATTGCGCCTTGGACCTACACTCAGGAAATCTGTTCTGACATTCGCTGCTGCACTGATAAACTTCTCGCAGAAGTTTTATGCTTGTATACATGGGCATGAATTATCACACTGACGACCGGGATGATCACAAGGTGCAAAATTGTGCACATGATTAGCACTTATTCATTCAAATAAAACGTACGAATTAGAGGCAAATAAGATGAGGGGATAGTATAAAATTTAATATATCCGAGTCCTTAAGTTGTATTTTCCGGCAATGCATAGACCACAACCGATGCTTTTTTTCTTTTTTCGCGGCGGTGTGAAGTCCTTGAGATTTTCATTAGCAGGAATGTTCTTTCTGTGCAAATTCGTATACTTCCTTGCATGTTTTTGTTAATAATCATATTTACTTCTTAATCAATCACTGATGTTTAATAAAAAAATATCCTAATCAATCACTAATGTGTATCCCGCTGATGATGACGATGTACCGATGTTGCGTACTTAATATATGTATATATTCTTAATCAATCACTGATGTTTAATCAAAAAAGTCCTAATCAATCACTAATGTATATCCCACTGATGACGGTGCACCGATGTTGCGTACTTAATCCATTTTTTCCCAATGTTGCGTATACGTAACACGAAGTTTAACTTCACAAAATGCAGTCAAAATGAACTTATTTCACAATTAGTGTAACACTTCGTGAAAAAAAATAATTACTGACGTCAGTAATTAATTATATAAACTTCGTGTTGCATGTACGCAACATTGGGAAAAATAGATTAATGTATGTATACTACGTTATAAAAAAAATTGAAGAGCAACCTCCCTAGACAACGAGTCAATAAGCACCTCTCTCTCACTCTCTCTCGCTTGCTCGCTTGCTTGCATTCGCTGCTGTCTGCTCTTCAGCGCTCTCATAGCGCCCCTGCGATTCTTTAACTCGTTATTGGAGTTAACGACAGTTTCGTTATCGCTGTGCAGCTTTTCTACGGTATACAAAAGCTACGCAACGATAACGAAACTGTCATTAACTCCAATAACGAGTTACAGAATCCAGCTGCTGCGGCGCGATTCTTTAACTCGTTATTGGAGTTAACGAAACTGTCGTTAACTCCAATAACGAGTTAAAGAATCGCACCACTGGTGTCGGGAAAGCAATGTACACGTTTTGCCTCACTCCTTCGTGTCCGACGTTTCTTACTGAATCGAAATTTTCCGTGATTGGTCTATGCTCTTAGATCCAGTCAAGAATAAGAGCATACAATAATGTTAAATTGAATTAATTTTACTGATACTTCTAAGGACAGTTTGAAAAAATAAATAAAAAGCAGAATCATTTACCAGTGAGAAAGAGAGACATTTACCAGTGAGAAAGGAAAACACAAAGTTATCAGTCTGCGCACAGATTGTTTGTTGAGAAGGACATCTTTAAAAAAAATGTCATGATTACGTCATAATTCAAGTCTTTAAAATGTCTTAAAAATGACGTCATTTTTATGTAATAAATGATACGTCTGAGAAAAGACGTCTTTATGATATCATAATTTAAAAGTCTTTAAGACGTCTTAAAAAAGACGTAATTATGACGTAATAATTCATATGTCTAAAAGACGTCTGAAAAAAGACATCATTATGACATCATAATTTAAAAGTCTTAAAGACATCTCAAATAAAAAGTCTGAAAGACGTTTTAAACAAATCGTCTTAAAGACGTCTCAAATAAGAAGTCTAAAAGACGTCTTAAACAAATCGTCTCAAAGACGTCTCAAATAAGATATCTAAAAGACGTCTTAAACAAATCGTCTTAAAGACGTCTCAAATAAGAAGTCTAAAAGACGTCTTAAACAAATTGCCTTAAAGACGTCTCAAATAAGACATCTAAAAGACATCTTTTGAACAACGTCTTAAAGACATTTGAAATAAGACATCTTTCAGACATCTTTTGGGCAACGTCTTAAAGACATTCGAAATTAGACGTCTTTTAGACGTCTTTTGATAACGTCTTAAAGATGTCTAGGATAAAACGTCTTTAAGACGTCTTTTAGACATATGTGTTATGTGGGTTGTTTGTGTTGCATATAACGAATAAGATATATCATATATTCTACAATATACAGTCTATAAAGTAAGAGCGTGCACAGGTTAATGTATAGAAAAATTTATTTTTAATGATTTTTAAGTATATGGATTTGTTGTATTCCATGAGAAGAAAAATGCTATACCATTAATAATGAGTCTAGTCACCACCGGCATTGATAATTGCCTTGCATCTCCGAGGCATACTTTCCACTAAGTTAACTGCGTATTCGTTCGGTAAAAACCTCCAAATGAGACGAATTTGTCGTGTCAGCTGCTTCAAAGTGCACACTCTTTTTTCTCGAAGCTTGTGCTTGAGATATGCCCACACATTTTCAATGGGATTTGCATCTGGCGACTATGATGGCCAATCAAGTGTGACGATGCCAGACTGCTCTTTCCACTCGGTGCAAAGCTTGCTCCGGTGTTTTGAGTCGTTGTCTTCCTATAAGATCCAGTCTTCGTTTTTTTTATGAAGCATCGTTCAGCAGTCGGCAACAAACACTTCTCACAAATTTTAAGCATTTTCACAATTTTTTTTCCATATTCGGCGTCACTTTGCCTATCGAGCCACGTTCTGGCAAGTCATCGACATTTTTTATCTTCTTATATTGCTGAACCCACTTAGCGACGAACGATTTTGACTTTCCCATGTATTTAGCAGCCACTGCATATGACATTTTTGGTCCTTTGGGGTGGGAACAAAGGAACACAGCCTCGTAGCGCGATGCGTATGCGGCACTCATGGCGGTTAACGTGTTTCTCAGGTTAAAGTTCGACGCCAACTAAATCTTTTGTGACAAAGCATTCACGACAAAGATTTCATCTGTCGGCTCACAAAAAACTAGGACGATATTTGAAGCCAACTGCCATTTATGCCGTGTACGCTCTTATTTTACAGACTGTATATAACTATCACACAATATATAGCCCAATATATAGTTGACTCGATACTTCAAGTACACGCTTTAAATCGTCAATCGCCTATTTAAGGTCTTGAGAAAGAATAATAAAATTGTCCATATTTGTTAGAACAGTTGTTCGTAAAATCAGGTCTTTGAACACGGCGTTTATAAATTTCTGGAACATGGCAGGTGAGTTGCAAAGTCTAAACGGCATTCGTGTAAATTCATCTTGACCGGTAAGGATAATGAACGATGTGAATTCTCTACTTTCTTCAGATACTTCGACGTGGAAAAATCCATTCTCAAGACCTAATATACTAAAGCACTTCGCGCCTTGTAAACAATCCAATTGACCCTCGATCAGTGGTAACGGGTATCTATCTTTAATGATCTTGCAATTAAACTAATAGAAATCCATACAGATCCTTGTAGCACTGTTTTTTTTCTTTATCAATACTATAGGACTTGCATATTCTGAAATAAAAGGTCTAATAATATCGGTCTAATATCGTCATTTAACCACGTGTCTATTTGCCTGTTGACTTCAGCTTTTTCCGGTGGCGATAACCTGCATGATCTTTGATAGACAGGAATATCGTCTTTAAAATATAACGACATTTTAACACTAACTTCGCGCATCTTTTTAGGCTTATAATTTTTAGCAGTAGTCTCTACTTTTTGTCGGGTGTCTTATTCAGCAATATATGAAAAATCAAACGGATCTACATCCTCCATGTTAACTTTTAATACTTCAACTTTTAATATCTCTGAATTACTAGCCCCTTCTTGTGCTATTTTGCGAATCGTGACCCTACCTTTAACAGAATGTAACTCAACTTGATTCAAAAAGTCTGCGCCAATTAAAACTGCATGCTTCATCGTTCGATCGTCTATAACATGAAATACAATTTTATACACTTCATTATCGATAACAATTTTCGTTATAAAAGAATCGTATGACTTGTTCAACAGGCCTAATCCATCGAATTTAATTTCACTTCTTAATTTAGAATAACCTATTTTCTCGTAACACTCGCGATTTATTAAACTCAAATCACTACCTCAATCAATAAGCCAACGAAAGATTGATTCATGATCTCGACTGTCCTTTACACGACTTAGCGATATGTCCGAATTGATTGTATTTATAATACTTAGCGCCTTGGTTTCTTGCAGAACACATCTTGCCCAAATGGTCACTGCTGCCACAGCTGAAGCATCGTCTCGTTTCCTCTGATGCACTTGCATCTGATCGGGTCACCTTCTTCTTCTCATTCGGCTTAACCTTATGGGGACCTTATGATCCAGAGCGCTCAAAAATAAGGTAAGTTTAGGAATTTTGTCTAGGAAACTATTAGGAGTACAAATAAGTTTCCGCCGTTTGACAAAAGATGGCCCCACCAGAAGGTTATGTTGAAATTGTCAGATGTAAAACGTAATATCGTAAGTTTGGACATCTGGTAACAACATAATCTTGAAGTATTAGTGACTCCGTATCAGCATCACATAATTTTTTTCGTTAAAAAATGTCAAGTTTTGTGCCGATTAAGCGTCATTTGCGGGAACTTTTGATTTACTTCTTTAATTTGAAGAAATCTGCAGCTGAAGCGCATCGATTGCTTGTAGAAGCATATGGTGAGACTGCTTTAAGTGAGAGAAGTTGTCGTGAGTGGTTTCAAAAGTTTAAAAACGGTGAGTTTGACGTGGAAGACAAAGAATGTAGTAGAAGGCCGAAAGTGTACGAAGACACGGAATTTGAAACATTATTGGAGGAAGATTCGTGACAAACGCAAGAAGAACTTGCACTTACATTAGAAGTAACTCAACAAACAATTTC